GTCACTCTTTCCATTCTGTTATTCATTTATGCTTTACTGTATCCGTATTTAAATGCTGGTGGCCTGAAATATTCCCTAAAGTGCCATGATTTGATGACTCTGCATATTAACTCCTCTTAAAAATTAAATAAATACATTGACACAAAACATTTGTATCTTGCAGGTTCATTAAAATCTTAAAACCTTGGCCTAACAAGAAGACCACTGCAACATTAGCTAGCCAGCATTAATTACATTATTGGTCCGTAACAATTTTTTAAAACCATTTTACACAACAACAACAGATAGATTTGGTTTTGGGAACAAAACTGCATTAGTTACCCAATCTTTGGGTGTTTTACGTCATGGCCATCCTGAGGTCAGGAGTCTGAAAGGACATTTGCTTTGCGTTAGTTTGCAATCTACTGCTGCATCTGCTAATCCTGTGTTTATGCTATTACTTTAACAGCAGGTTACAACACAAAATGAAAGGCCACTTTTGTAGTCTAAACCTCTTGTTAGCAAGAGGACATCCTTCAGTGTGTATACTTGTCAGAGAAAGAGGCAAACTGTCTCACATTAATGTTTGACCCTTTGAATGAGCCATAAGTTTGTATTTATTTAGTTATTTTAACACCAGGCGTATTTGTAGCCATGTATTGTACTGAAAAATATGCATAGGAGATGTCTGTTATAGCCCTGACTCTATTGTTTTGGTGCATGGACCCGTTTCATAAACCAAAATTGCCTAACACTCTCCAGGCTATGAAGGCTATCAATTCCCTTTATAGCTGATCAGGGTTATCAGAAGCCATTGGGGAAAACTGTCAACCAATAGGGGTATAACCTGGGTTTTATTTGTTCAGTTCATTATTAGATTCCTGTCAGAGTTAATGGACTTCTACAATATTTGAAATTCTTTAAACTTATGCTTCTCACTGATAAGAAGCATTTACAAATTCTTGAAACAGTGTAAAAGTGTTATATAGTCCTGTTCAAGTAATTTAAAGTAAAAAAAAAAAAACATTATCAACATTACATCCTCCATATAAAATGTGGAATGTTAAGTGTAAGCTATTCTGAAATATCACATCAACTCTAATCTCTCTTTTCATTTTAGTTTAAATCATCAATCTTATTTTATACTCCTCTTTCTGAATCAGGGTTGATCCGACTGAGACTGACCCATCCTCTAGAATTCCCTCTTACACAATCACCATCAAATATCAGCTGTCATGAGTCATTTTATTACTGCAGTGAAAATGGCTGCACTAAAATCCCAGCAGATAGTTTTTGATTATGCTAGCTGACCGTCTGGAGTGTTGACCTCATCCACAACCTCTGAAATAAATTGAGGAGAGGTGGAGAACATAATTCACTCCAGATCGCATTGATCCGCTCATCTCCAACATTCTTTGAAGTCCAAGAACTCTATGTCCATTTATGGTCAAATTTACTAACCAAACTGAGCTTTTTAGTTTAAACTTTGCCTCATTATTACTGGAACCCAAACACAGTTAATGTATAGTGCCCTTGCAAGTGTATGTTGTTAAGAAATATGTTTTTTTTTTTTATAAAAACTAGAAGTGAAGCTTAAAAGAAACAAGTCTCACTTGCAGGTTGATCTGCTTCATTTGTAACCCACAATGCTTGAGGATGTTTTCATGGCAGTTCAGGCTGTTATTTTCAGATAGGGAAGGTTGTTTATTAGCCATCTTTCCTTTTCATGTGATACTTATGCCTCAACATTGAGCTGCAGAGTTAGACGTGTGCTTGTGAAAAGCATGCTTTACCACACAGAGTCACAGTATCTTAAAATGTTTGAGATAAGCAAAGATTTTCTTTTAGATAAAAGATAGACAAACATAGACAGCCAACAAAGTAAAAATCACGATACAGACTTTCTCAAAAGTGTCATTTAAACTGACAAAGTTATGGATACTCATTTCAGTTAATAATTCAGTTTTTTTTATGTGCATTGTGCCTTTTATTGGACTAGACTAATGAGGCCTACGGTGACATTAACTGTTAACATTTTGTCGCAATGGTAGATGGTCGATGAAGATGATGTAATGAAAACATATGACTTTTGAACACCAGTCGTCCCAAGCCCTGTTTTTTTGTGGTATACAAATAAACGTGGCAGTGTAAGATCATAATAATGATGATGAAGATCATCATAAAGAAAGAAAGGCCTTGAATCTGTTTTTTAATGGTCCCTCTGTGCACCAGCAGAGAAACTGAGATCTTCTAAGTGTATTTTTTTTTTCCAGGAGGTCTGAAACAACACTGCAACATCTGATCTGCAAGTCTATATGTGCACAGGAGTCCAAAGGTCTTAGACCACAGCTTTAAGTTATATGATTACACTGATATTTGTAATCAGTTTGGCCTATTGACACTCACTGTTATGTACTTCATTACACATATTGACGCAGCAAAGCCCTGAGAGCAGTAGTGACCTTTTAGTCAAACACTGGACGTGGAGCGGCATACCAAAATATTTAACTTTCCGCACCCCTAGACCAAAGGCTTCCTTTCCGGTTACAGAGATAGGGAAGGAAATGATTGATGGAAAACAGGTTAGAAGTCTATAGCTTATCAAAAAGCTATTATGAATGGATAAATATGATAAAATCTAGAGGCAGAGCCCACTACAACAACATAACAAGTCTGATTTGTGATTTGAAACTCATTCCAAATGAGGCTGTAGCCTGTATTGTTAGAGAGCATTTTATTGTTACCAATAATCTTAACAAGCTGATCTAATCAGAGTGAACAAAACTGTTGGACACTTTTTCCAATGGCCATTACCAAGTTCAGTCAGCTCAGGCATCATTCAACACTCCTTTATTACACAGCTCAAGAACCTCTGCATTCCTCAGAGCGGGGGCTTATTATTATGAACCTGTCTTTCTGCAAGAGAGAAAGCCGTGGGCAGATGTGCATCAAAATAGTTTGAAAAAAAGAGACCTTGAATGTTTCTTTTAGGTCCCCATAAGATGGCCAATTCAATAAAGATTGAATTCATAAAGAGAAACCAACACTATATCTGGCACTATTGCTAGGTACGGAGGTTATATAGCGCCTCCATGTGGTTCTAACAGAAACAGCTGAGCAAATGTGGGATTTCAATTACAGAAAAGCCAGAGACATGTCACTATAGAAAATGTCACTCATACTACTCTTAACCCTGAGTTATCTTTTTTAATCCCAAATAATCAGTCCTAAACTAAACTAAGTTTTTATAATCACACAAATTTAAAGGACACCAGTACGTGAAAACTGGCAAAACTTGCTGTATATGCAATAAAAACACAATTTCTTTTTTTTTTAAATCACTACATGAATTGCTTGAAAAGCTATGTGACTAGAAGATGGGTTGTGGTGTTCGCTTTTTCAAAAACTTCAACACCCATAATGCACTTTTGATTTGGTTGATTTGTTTAAACAAAAGCTTAGCTTTGAAAAGTTCGCCAGATGATGCAAAATGATGCTTTGTTGACAAATAAATGGGCATATGGGTGCAGGTAACACAGAGAAAAAGTTACACATTTACACTACATTTACACACAAAAAAAGTTGCTTAAGTACAATCAACTTGGATGTTTAAGTAATTTCAACTTAAATTATATTAAAGGGGTCATGAACTGGCTTTGTAAATTTTATTATATTGTTGTCTGAGGTCAACTTATGACGTTCGCTTGGTTTTTGCATTCAAAAACATCAAAATGAATAAGCAATCCCTTATTTGTTAGATTTTTTTAATGATCTAATACTGAGCAACAAAAAAGCGTTCTATGTCTTCCCATTTCTAACCAAATCGTATTGTTTGATTGCATCATAATGCAAAACCAGATACTTAACTAAAAAAAATATATCTAAACCTTGACAAAAAGTAGTTTTTTTAGAATGTCTAAATATCTATCTAAATGCAAAACCTAATAAAATTAATAAATTACGTCTAAAATCGGAATCAAAGAGTATCTCTTTATATGTATAAAGGGAGCTATAGAGATTACCGGATTATTATTATTTTTTTTTTACGGCTCCAGATTGCACTTTTCAAAAAAGGCTTTGGCTTTGCACTTAATACACTGATCATGAAATAATACACTGATCATGTATTTAATTTTTTTCCAGTATGTCGTTATCTGGGTTTAAATATTTTGTTAAGCCTAGTTATCAATTTATCAATTAAAATAGCTCCCTCAAAATATCAAACCTGTACAAACTTACTGACCTGCGAAATGTCCATTTAAATCTCTGACATCTATTTAAAGCAGCTGGCAAACTCAGCAGGTATGAAGGGAATTTGGCGCCGTTGGCTCTTCTAAACAAACACTCACTTCTTACACTCTTAGAAGAAATGGTTCTATTTAGAAACAGAAATGGTTCCATCCCCCACTTCATATATGGAACTCCAAAATGGTTTTATATAGAATCTTTTTTTGTAAAAGGTTCTATTGGCCAAGTACGGAACCCCAGGGTTCTATATAGAACCCAGAGGAACCCTTTTTTAAGAGTGTATAGAACCTTTTAGGAGTTCCAATTACGTAGCGCTATTAGAACCTTTTAAGGTTCTATATAGAACCTTTTTCTTCTAAGAGTGTATATCTCACTTTCTTAAACGACTCACTTGAAGCTTTCAGATCCCACTTGATTTCAATCCTGTCTCTGCTCATGAGAACCCAGCTTTCAGGTCTTTCCTAAATGTAGGTCAGTGCCGTTACCGTTAGGAAACTACAAATTGATGACAACTTTTCACAAGCACCTCCCCGAGGTTCATATTGGTGACTGCGGGATTTCACTCTAGTGCGCCCACTCCTTTTGAATTCTTTTGCTGTGTCATGCCCATGTGCGGACCCTACACTTGCCACCCATTGGATACTACCCTATTTATTTGCATATACTGTAATCGTCTCCTTGCTGTCCTATTGGTTTCAGTAAGCAGGTCACCCCCCAGAGGACCTTGTAAATCTTGATTAGCTGGAGTTGGTGCTGTATGTGCTCATGTTTCGTACCCCTTCTGTTTATTAATAAATGTAAACAGATTAAATGTTGCCTGGGAGACCTGTGGCATAAGTTTAAACTCGGTCAGAGAGAGGCCAGACTACCCCTCTCCTGTTTTCATGTTCAGTTGGCTACCAGCTCTTCATTTGGGGTTCACTTCATTGTTATTGTCCTGGAACTTTGTTATCTGAGTCAAGTTGAGGTGAGTTGAAGAATTTATATATAACAGTTTTCTCAAAGTTTTTGGATGTTTACGTTGGCATAATATCATAGCCCTAGCTATCTTTAGACTTGCCATATCACTACCTACTCACTGCACAGTGCCTTCGTGTTTTTTCTTTCACACATTGTTATTATTGGCGATAATTTCAAGAGTCTGGAAAGCTGGAGAAAAGGTATTAATTGAAGACAAATGCTATCTTCTTTGCCTTTATTACAGTTATTAGTCTCCTGAAAACAACATGCTAATATGTCATACCGTAACATGTTTAAGTAAAGCAGTTGTTTGAGAAGGGGAGTTTTTGAGATCATTGGCACTAGTGGAATGTGATCTGTCTGTTCTTGCTGCCAGTGTCTGCAGCAGCTGCTCTCGGTGTCCCACTGAGACTGGCATAAGAAATACCAGCCCTGTCTAGCTAGAGATGGCGAATGGGCATTTCTATATCCTAAAATCATACACTGAAAAGAGATTGGTGCAGAAACTCCAAGAAATGACTAGTAAATTTCACACTTAATTACAAAGTAGTAGCATATTAAATGAAACATTAAATTTTGAAGTAGAAAGACTTCTAAAAAATCGTATTTCCTTGAAAAGCACACTTTGAATTCTTTACAAATGTGAAAAGTATTTTTTTTTACAGTGTGGAGTCTGGGGCAAGGTTAATGTGAAAAAATTAATTGATTGACAGCATTTTGATAAAGATGCGAATGTTTACATTTGATTAACTTCCTGCTTATTACATTTCCGCCAAATGCAAAGGCATTTAAGTACCAATGTGTACATGTTCTTTACAGCTGATCAAAGGTTCACTTGCAGATGTCAATCTAAGATTTTCATACGAACGCCCTCTACAAGTGTGTTCATGATCAATCAGCTGTTCGACAAGTTTATGCAGCTGTCCCTCAATGACGCATTAGCTTCAGATTTCCTCTCCCCATCCTTATCATCCCTCAGGAATCACAGTTCACGAAGTACATTGTACATACGCTTAAAATCATGGGCCAGTTGTTCAAAACATTTAATCTGGATCAAAATGATCCAGATTTGGAAATCCTATTTTTTCCTATCCAGGATCAGGTCATCCGTCTTACTTTTATGCTGGTTTTTCAAAGCAACATTGTACTGGATCACCCTGATCCAGATACACAGTTTTCAAGATTACCAGTGCTCTAAATGGTAAAACATATCACAATGTGTGGGCTACCAGCTATGGAAAGAACAGGTAGAAGAGCCAACATGGGGTCACTGTAAGTATTTCTTATTTTGAGACAAAACAGAAATGAGACAAGATAATTTTTACTTTACTATACTGAATAGCTTAATTGTTAGCCTATGGCTACTTTATCACTGTTACAATGGTTACAAAAGTCAAGTGCAAAATATAAATAAAAGCATATACACTAAATGATACAAATGTAATTTTTTACCAATTTTAAAGTTTTACTACGTTTTCTTCCTGAAACCCACCTAGAAATCCTACCCCCTGTTGGGATCAGGATAATCCTGTTTTTTTGGATCAAATTTATCCAAATCCCACTGACAAGTTTTGAACAACACAAACTGAAGGTTTAATCCAGATTAAAACTAGGATTGGATTCCCTGATCTAATCTGATTTCAGATTCCTTCTTTCCCTTTTGAACAACCCATTTTCAAGATTTGATCCAATCCGATAACCAAAATCCGATCAGCTTACCTTTGAACACCTGGCCCAATAAATTAACTTAATGGCTAACCACAAGATTTTTCACCTAATACATTTACAGGTCAACATATAAAATGGGGGATCAAGAAATGAACTTTGAGCAAGCTTTTGGACCTCTATCGGAGACAGAAAGAACATTTGATCCCTTATTTATTGAAGAGGATGATGAAGACTACTTTGAAGATTGCTTGGAAGAGATCCAGGCAGCTCTAACTCTTCCTGAAGAGTCCATGCCTTATTCACAAAAATGCAGAAAAGCTTTGCAAGCTGAGTTTAATGGACTTATGCAACAGATGTTGGCACAGCTCGATGTTTTTGATGCAGCACATCCAACCACATCTGCACCACTGGAGATATTTTCAGAAACAGAGAACAAAACGGACAAGAATGGATTCACAAAAAGAACCAAGTTTGAAGAGATGTGCCTTCCAGAGAAAGAGCAAACTGTGTCAGAGGTCGAAAATGATGCTGCAGAAGTCCTTGTCGAAGCAAGGCCTGAGTTGTCTGCCACCATGGAATTACAAAAGCTCAGAGCAGCATTTGAGAGCTGTATTGAGGAGGTGGGCCAGTTGGAGCACAGAAGGGATGAGTTGGTTCAGGAGCTTCTGGAGCTGCAGGAGCCCATGGCCCAAGAGCTGCAAACTATAAGGGAAGCTCTGGGGGAGGAACAAGGCCTCCTGTCCAAAGTCAGACTGGAGAGACAGAGTCTGCAGAAGGAGACGCAAATGACTAAGAAACGCCTGTTCATAGTGGCTCGAGATTGTACACAGAGACAAGTAGAGCTTGAATTACAACAGAAAGAGGTGGAGCAGCTCAACCAAGCTCAGGTAGTGTTCAATAAACCAGACTGGTGCGAATGCATTCAAATTGCTCCAGAAAAGATGTAGAAAATTATAAAGTAAGGTGAAGTTTTTTGGGGGGCCTTCCCAGTCAGGCTATATTAATATATCGGGGCCATAACCATCATAAACCATCAAAACCATCATTGAGGTTCTCCCCCCAATGAGGACATTGATTGTTGTCCAAACCACTTTAGTCCCCCCAATGTTAAAGACTATAGTTATGGCTTGATCAATATTATTTTGTATTTATTTTTAAAAATATATGTTCAATACATTCAAGTTAAGGTATTCCATCCTGCATTCACAAAATCAGGAGGAGCTGAAGTCCCTTGCTGTTAAGATGACTGAAGAGATCACCAAGATTCGTTCAGATCACCAAAGCCACCTGCAGGAAATGCAGAAGCAGCAGAACCTCACTCAGGAATCCAGCGAGAGGAAGACCCGCTCATATGTGGCTCAAGGACGACAGGCCTCTTGTGACCTACAGCAGTACCTGCATGGTGGGATAAAAGCTCTGGAGGAGTTTTACGAACCCCGGGTAGAGTCCCTGTTAAAGAGACAGGAGATCACCATGGATGCTCTCGGTAAGGCTAAAGAGCAGTGCCAGGAGATGAGAGCCCAGTTAGGGCCACTGAGACAAGAAGAGCAGTCGCTGAAACTCCAGAGAACTTGTCTGGAGGAGAGGATCCGACTAATGGAGATACAGAGGAGGGAAAATGTGGAGCAATATAGGGTGCGTGATTTTCATTGATGTTACATTTTAAATTGCATAGTACTGACGGTTCAATGTTCTTCATTCAGGAGACGGTGGACATCTTAGAGGAGAACATGAGAGAACTGAAAACTCAGCTCAAGATCCAGATAAAAAAGAGTGAAGAATTGGAGATGCTGAAGAAAAATATGGCCAAAGAGCTGTTCTTATACAGGCAAGTACAATCACTTTTTAAAGGACAGTTTCTCATTGCACTGCAAAGTGAATTTAATATTACACCATGCACAAATCAAGTGACAAAAACTCTAGACATCTCTCCCGTGTTAATGTGAGTTGTCCTAACCAGATTCTAGGTTTCTTACTCTGTTGCACTTTGTTAGCCCCGGCGTCAAAGATATATTATTTATCCAAAAGCATAATCTACATAAAAAAAAAATCTGTGTGGCTGTAATCATATTGCATTTCCACTTTCAATGTGAACAGACAAATAACTTTTACTTAAATCTGGAAACTGGTTGCATTGCTTCTGGTTTGGACATGGTGTTAGATGGCATATCTCTCTATATATTCTTATATCTATATTTCATATATCCTTTATTGTTTTACAGAGAGCGTGTAGAGGGTCCTCACAAGCAAGAGGACAATGTGGTGGTGGAACAAACCTAATGAACTCATGTTTGCTAATAATTATCTCATTAGTTGTTAGATGCTTTTGATATTTCGGTTTCATAGTTTAATCCAAATAGCCTGTATAAACAATCACCAAAACAATTACCACAATTTATTGAAGACTTAAGTCAATGTTCTCTGCAAACTATTTTTTTTAAAGTTCTCTGAACATCAGGACCAAGCACGTCAGATATCCAGATCTTTATCTGACTTGAATGTACTTAAAACAGTGTTTTTTTATTGTTTATATGAGGGAATAAGGCTCTTATATCCAGTGGTCCCTGCGAATTAGGTGCTTTCTCTTAAGAGTAAGTGAAGTGAGCAAAACAAGGACTTATTTGGGCACCTTAAGAAAGCTCTATAAACGTACCAACAGCATGATGGTGTGGTAAGAATGTTTAGATAAGGGCCTATGAGAAGATGAATTAAGTGCTTTGTTGATTTAAGGTGTCTTGTTAATAAGATTTGAGATAAACATGTAGAATTAGACTGTTTATATGACTTGTACCGCGGATCGAGTACAAGGATACAAACTGTCATAAGTGTGACAGGGGGCATGTTTTTGTTTTGTTTTTTTTTTTAAATAGGATTGAATCTAGTTAAAGACATTTTGATAATTAAAAATCTAGATAATGACAAAAAAATAAAAGGTATTTTGTTGAGGAACACTGGCTTTTGTTCGGTCATTTTTTTGGCTTTTATGTGTGAAACAAATTCCTCCAAGAAAAGTATTTGAGGGTGTTTTCTCATCAGTGTAAATATGGCACTGTTCATGTCTCAAATGATCCAATTACAAATGGGCAAGATTTTATTGTTTATACCTATCCAGCTCAAATGCAGCCAACTCTGCTGATTTCCAACTTATATCAAACTTGAATAACTTATTTTATTTCAATCATAACTATTGCTGATAACACACTTAATTTGATTTGACAAGTAATCTCATTAAAAGACAATTTCGTTTTCTTTCTTTTTTTACATTCATGTACAAGCCAAAACAATAGAAAATATTACCTGATGCTGATTATTTATACATTATTTTGATGGTCCCTTTAACACATTCTGTTGACTAAGTAGCCAAACGTTTCCCCAACATTTCAACTAACTCTCATTAGAATGTTAGTAGAGCATTTGTAGACCGGTAGGGTTAGGGTTAAAATAAGTTGACACGTAACTTAGTTGCAAAGTTACTTGTCAGATATCAAGAGCTCGCAGACGGTATACTAATGATTATTTAGTTGATGTAGTTGCATTGTTACTTACTAATGTTCAACAGAATGTTCAAAGGGGACCATCAAAATAAAGTGTTACCTATTATTGTTTTTAATATCCTTTTGTTTAAAGCCAAAAATTGACTGAGGTAAAAGGGTCTTACCTCAAAAAACGCACCATTCCCGTCAGTACCGGTGCACGCGCCGCTGCAGTGAAGCGCGAAAACAAAGGAGAGAAGCCCACACACAAACAGGAAGCTCGCTTATACTCCCGCCAATGGGAGGCAGTCAACTTTTTGAGTTTGTAACACGTGGGTCAGTCAAAATAATTTTTAGTGCAAGTGAAATTTTTCGAATTTTGTAACTTCATGAGATTTATCTTAGAGACATTCAGTATTTAAACCCCTAAATCTTGCGAAAGCGATACACCAACATTTTAAATAAATTGTATCAACAAAAACAGTTTATTCATAATGTTCTGTACAAAGGTATGGACACACAGGAGAAAGACACTGAAAAGTCACAATATTAAAGACATTAAACACCACTTGACCGATACATGAAGCTCAAAGTAAAAAGAGTACACAAGAGCTTAAGTTATCAATACACCTAGCCATGTAATTGAACGGATGCTTAAATGGAAAAAGAATTTGTCGGACAAGTTAAAAAATAATCTAAAGAGCATCAACATTGTACCACTGCACTCTGGCCACAATTTACTACACGCCTGTATACACTTTTCAGAGATTAAGTAATACTTTAAGTATACTTAAACTGCAAGGAAATCCACGAGACACTGGTGGGTGAGATGGGTCATTTGTCTCACATTCTGATATTGACCAATGATCAAATGACATTTTTCTTAGAAAAATACTCTATTAACATAGTAGAAAATGCCTGGTGGGGAAAGTGTCAATTGTTCCTTTTCCATTACTTAGGGGAGAGTTCTTCACGTGTATAGACAGTTTTTAGAAGAGTTGTCTTATGCTGAGAGTGGGGTGATGTAAAGAGCTGTTTTATCCCTGAACCTCAGTGTCTGCTGCCCCCTCTGGGTCCTCGTCATTGTAGATGTTCTCTGCCTAAAATCATAAGAAATGCGCATAAATAACTGAATTACAAACATAACTAGAAAGGTTATGCAAACAATTAAACAAGAAACTATTTCCATAATATCCACATTAAGAGGTGGCATATACTTTGTCAGAGAGAGAAAAAAAATGCTGATTTATTGCAAAGGTGCTGATGCTAAACTCAGTTGAAAGAAATAGGCTTAAATGCCTCACCATCTGCCAGACTTGCATGATGTTGTCCTCAGACACTGAGCAAATCACCCACGGTTCATTTGGATTCCAAGAGAAGTCAGAGATCTTGGCTGTATGGCCTCCATGGATAAACTGAATAAAAATAGGAATCAATAATATGTGAATAACATGACCTCAGAGCAGTATAATGATAACTAATTAAAATATATATAAACATTTAAAATAAAAACTTAACCGCATTACTACTCACCAGCAGCTCCGGAGGTCCATCCTCTGCATCTTCTGGCGACTGTTCCTCTCCGATTTTACTGTATAACCCCCCCAAGGAATTCTTATTAGCAGTGTGAAAAGATCCATACGATAAAGTAGTTCACATTTAGAGGTAGTCGTGAGTAAACGGAAAAGGGAGACAACCTACCTGAGATCCCAAACATTGAGTCTCCTGTCTGTTCCACTGGAGGCCAGGATGGTCTCATTATGAGGTGACCACTGAACCTGTGGACACATTTCAAGAAATCATGTTATCATACTCAGTTTTTACCTTTAACAATTCTATCAGCAATGAAGATAAAAAGGGAAATGATACCTGGAAGATTTCATCTTTGTGCGACTCAAATGAGTGAAGTTTCAGCTTAAGGTTTCGCAGATCCCACAATGCAACAGTCTGTGAGAGACAAATAAAAATCAAAACTTGGAAGTCTAAATAGCGATGCACATTTAAAGAGTATTCACAAGGGCAAGAGAACCAAATGCTGAATGTAGCTCTCACTTTGTCAGCAGAACCAGTGGCCAGAATGAATTCACTGTATGGGTTGAAGGACAAACAGTTGACCTCTGCAGTGTGGGCATCTACCGCATGACTGGGTTTGGACGTGTTATTGGACCGTGTGTCCCAACTAAAGGAAGAAGAAATAGGTTAATATACTCCTCACCTTAAATAACCAACAGACTGAACAGTCAAATATCCTTTTAAAATTACATTTTGTGCTAAAAAACAAACATAAACAAACAGGAAGGTAAAAAGTACTTGCATCATAAGCTTCTGGTCATCTGCAACAGACCCAAAGAGAGACTCGTGCAGCAGGTGCCAGGACACGTCCTCCACTACAGCAGTGTGACCAGTGAAAATTGTCTTGGCGTCCACTATTTTCCCCTCCTTTGGCACAGTGCTGATGTCCCACAGACAGATGGTCTGCAGAGAAACAGAAGAACTCATAGGAGCATGCACAAAAAGCAAGATCCTCTACATCAGGTTACCAACCTCTCTTGTCAGTCAACCCTTATGACCTAAACCATTTATTCAGAGATACATTTTTTTTTTTTTCAATTTAATATGGCATCAGCAGCATCACAAGGTCGTGGATTCTTCTGACTCGAATCACAAATGTCAAACATCAATTTTCTAAATGTTAATTGATAACGTAATATTGATGGAATGCAAAAGGCGCCTGGACAGTCTGTGGCGAGCAGCTGTGCACATAACAGAGACGCATGATGGTTGAGCGAGAAATCTGACCGGCACCCTCTGCATTAAAATCTAGCGTAACGTTGGCTTCTATGAAGTTGAAGGGAAAAAGGACCTGGACAAGAGCCACACTTTATGCAAGTAGGGCTCCAGACTGCGACCAAATGGGCGACAAGAGGCCACACTGGTGCGACCACCACATTGTCCAATTGACAACTGCAACTTGTGTTACATGAGAAATAAACAAAACGAAAGAGAAACGAAACCACGCTATGCGTTTGATCTGAACATTTAGTGCAGCACGAGCTAAATCACGTGACACTGTTATTACACAGTGCTGGGCGAACCATTGAGAAAGAGTTTGAATTCACCACATATTACTGTTATAAAACACATCAGATCAAACAGCTATGACATAGAAAGTAGGACAACCTTAAAAGCTTCCACCCAACTCGGAAAATACAAACTATCACAACAAATCACTTCAATTTGTTTAATTAATAAAATAAATCGAAAGTAAGTTAATTATGGATCATTACAAATACTTTACTTTAAAAGTAACAAGTAGTCACAGTGAGAAAAAAGATGCATCCACCAAAAATCGTTTTATCATCACAGCCCTCTGAATCGTAATCAAATCGTAAGGGTGTCTAGAGATTCCCACCCCTAGTGAGTAAAAATGTCTTACGTGGTCATCAGATGCACTTAGCAGACAGCCACTCAGGTTGGGATTCCAGGAGAGACCATAACCTTCTTTCTGATGGCCCCTCAGACGTAGGTCAGGAGTGCACTCTCCAGAGGGGTCTTCAGGGGCACAGGAGGAGAAAACAAATTTAGAAAGAAGGAGAAAAAAATAAATCTGGCCACAAAATGACGATTTTTTCGCCATCGGAGGATTTTTTCCCTCCGATGACGGAAAAAAATAAATAAATAAATAAATAAATCTCTCATCTCAGGGGGATATGAGGGTGGAAAGCATGGTAATTTGAAAATACTACAGGTTTTCCCTAAAAAAAAAAATTATGAAAAAAAGGCATGAAAATAAGAATTTATTCTTATCTTAGTTTAGGTATCTTTTGTGCTTTGCTATACTTCCGCTGTTAAACAGTTAGCATTTTGCATGGCATCTTTTAAGGATTGCCTCTCAATACATTCAGATGGACGTCTTTGGCAATTGTGTTTTTCTAAGTTAAACTTTGAACAAAATGTTTCTAGCTCATACCAGGTTTGGAGGGGTGTTTGGTGTAGTCAAAGACCAGCACATCACTAGTGGGAGTCTTGGTGGCAATGATGCAGGGGTTCTGCGGCATGTAGCGAGCCCTGTTAACCTCTCCCTCGTGATTAATCTTGATTTCAATCTCTATCTTGCCACTCACCGAGCCAAAACCACCAAATTCTATAAAATACAGAGAACAAAAATGTGATAACTTGTCATAAGTACATATGTAAAGATTATGCATTCAAATATAACAGTTTATGATCTGCATCTTCATGTATGAAAAGCCACTCGCCTCCTTTTTCACTGTCATAATGTGAGGCATCAAATTGGGCATCATCATTGGGCAGCTGGACACTGGCAATAACCAAGTGATTCTGCTCATCAGAGGTATGTGTGCCGAGGACCAGGCGGTGCACACTAAAATCCTTCCCTTCAGGTCTGTGAAACATGACAAGTATGAATGTTATTTACAATGATAAATATGTATGCATAATCTCATTTCTACCCACAC